CTTAAACTACTTTCAATATTGTGGTTGAATGTTGGTATCGCTATTGAGAAAATATGAATGTTACGGAATAAAGCAAATGAATAACTACATGACTGTCATGAGAGCTGGGTTTTTAGTGGGCGACTAGGAGCTACAGATATAAGTTGGAGGTCATGAAATACCCTGTGGTCCTGAATGGGAACTGGATGTATCAGTATGAAGTTATTATGTCTTTTGTACTTAATTAACATTATCTGAATGCATTTCCTAGCTCTGTCTCCTGGGAAAGCCTAGAAACAATTCCCAAACCAGGAGCAATACACACCCTTAGCACCCAGATTGTAGTATCTAACTTCTATTTCCCACAGATGGAAGCAAGACTCCCTGATTTCAGATTTGAGCCAGGAAAAGTAAAAATACCAGAAGAAAAGAAGCTATAAAAGGTTTCTGGGATCATGTCAAAAGGACTCAGGAGCTAACATGAAAAGGTTCCTGTTAATAAGCAAGGATGGGGAAATATTTTGAGCAACAAGAATAATACCTGCTTTATGACACAGTCAGGCAGCTCAGTGGACCACCTCTATAGGATGCTACGAAGTAAGCATACTGGGTTCAACATTGGTAAAGGCATTTATCCTTCTTTTTCTATACAAACTTCAGGGTAGCCAAATAATTGACAGAGTAGTGTTTCTTCTTATAGAAGTATTCTAGCTAATGAACACAAGGGGAATGATAGAATATCACCATTTTGTAACCTCCAAAGCAACAATGAATCTAGCTAACATGAATGAATCTATGCCTAGTAACACCACAAAATGAGAGAACCAGCAATGAAGGGCCTCCTGTTTAAAATTCACCACAGCACTGTCTACAAAGTGTTCTTGTCAAAGAAGTATTGATGTGTGTGTGTGTACACATGTATTGTGAACCTGAATGAGAGTGAACCTCTAAATCTAACTAGCAATCTACAGAAAAAATAGAGTACAGGTAAGTATTTTCAGTAAAAACAAAATCTAAATTGTGGGAAACTATAGGACGGATGACCCAGTTTTTCAGCAAATATACTTCAGAGGGCAAAAAGAGACATGGATAGAAAACTACATTAGCAGGAAAATATTAAAAAACCTAGTACAATAAGCCTATCAATAAAAAATATATAAATATGTATATATGTGTGTGGAGTTTGTGTATGTACACATGTAAGATAGCTGAGGAAATTTCAATATGGACTAAAGTACTTGACAATATTAAAAATTGGTTATTTTTTTAGGCATGATGAAAACACTGTCTTAAAGAAAAAGGACTCCTTATTTTCTGGAGAAATACACTGAAATATTCACAGGTGAATTGGTACAATATAAGATTTGTTTAAAATATTGAGAAAAGGTGAATGGAATAAGGATTAAGTGGCAGTGAGTTGAGATTAGTAAATTGGGTAATGTGTACATAGGCATTCATTGTAATTTTTCCCTACTTCTACAAAAGACTAAAAATTTCCACCATAAGTTAGTTAAAAAGCATATGAATACAAACAACAAAAAATTATGTAGCTAATATTAACAAGCTGGTAATAGAACAATGATACCCAACTTAGGAGTCCCTCATGATCAGCTTTTTCTAAATATAGTCTCTGAACCATCACTATCTTAATGAACCTCTAAGACTAGAAGGAGTTGTATCATATCCCTTAGGACTGTGGAAGTGGGGGAAAAAGTTTGAGAACCACTGTTTAAACCCTGGAAAGGTGGTGGCTGCACATTTTAAACCAGTTTTTATCTATCTCTATGCCTGATGCATGAGAGGTACTCAAAACTATTTGCTGAATTAATGAATAGTCCTAGGCAGTGAAAATGTATAGGCAAGTCTAAGAGCAGCTAAATGCTAGACGTGCAAAAGAAAAATCATTCATATTTGATATCAAAAAAATCAGTTAGGTTACTGAGTTTAAAAAGCATGGCTTCCTGTTTTAAGTGGAATAGAGTTTTCATCACAAAGCCACAGACTAGTCACTTCGAACAGCTACAAGTAAACTCCCAAAACAAAAATAGTTCTAAATACACAATTGGGTGGGCTGTGGCTAGCTAATATTCTGATTCTACAATCTGTTTTGGACAAGACAGTACTTCTTATGTGACTAAAAAAGAAAACAGCAGTCAGATTCCTCGTGCTGAAAAAGTACACTATTTGCAAGAAGGGTTGAACATCCAAAGTTCAACCAATAAAGGCACCACAGTTTCCAAAGTTAAAGGGAAATATAGAGTGACAAATATCCACATATATTTACATATCCCAAAAAGAAGGCATATGACCTTCTTTTGTCTCCAAGAATACTAAATGGAGCCAAGCCCACTGTCTCACCATGGGGAAGAGCCAAAATACCTCAAACACTAGAATAATCTAATTTTAAAGCTGACAGAAGCTTATAAAGCTAGTCCAACCTTTTCATTGTGTTGATGAAAAAACAGAGACCTAGAGAGGTTAAGGTGAAAAGCTCTGAAAATAGCTGGAGTAGTCACAGATGAACAGTCTACACAGGTGCCCAGTAAGAATTAATCTGAACTTTCTTAGGACTGATATCTAACATGTCAGTCTCAATTATAAACAAATGTGTGTTGTGCAACCCTTATTCATACAAAAATACTAGATTATGTACTTCTAATAACTCCTTTTAAAATTATACAGCCTAGCATTCAAGAGCATTCATAACATTACTTCAATCTACTTTTTCAAAATGTTGTCCCATACTGTCTACCAGAAGTAAATGGAAGGCAGCCATTTCTCTCTTACCTTGCGTAGAGAATGTAGTAGAGTATGTACTATAAATACAAAAGTTAGCCCATAGGTACAAATGATGAAAGAATGATGAGAATATATACTTTCTAATTCTGTTAATCTCAACTCATAAAAGCCATATTTCATGTCTATCCGTGAATGTTATATAGAGACATATAGGCCATTGTAGATGTTTTAATATGACAACCAATAAAAGGTTTAAAAGTGAGACTTGGGATAAGGGAGGCAGTGAAATGAATTACCATTTACATTTCTATAAGATGCTACTGAAGACTTAGTCTAAAATAATACGGAAAATTGTATACATGGAAGGAGGAAGGAAAAAGAAAAAGAACAAACCTTTATTTCATCCACTGGTCAAATACTCATTTTAATTATTGATCAATCTTAAATCCTTACTACTTAATTCTGCAGAAATTTAAAAAATGATATAGTTATGCCTGTTAAATAATTTTCCTTCTCACCTATGTCACCTGTACAGTTGACTTGATTTAGCCATAAAATTGACATTAAATTAGATAGAAAATTTGGCTTTTCAACTTCCTATTTTTATTAGATTCTTTAGGAACCTGAAAATTTCTTTTAAGAGTGTTCTAATACAGTTAAGGAGAATACCAGCCATTTAAAGTGACAATGACAACAGTTATTTTCATCTTTGGGGGAAAAAATGTTTCTAATTAGGCTGAATCAAGATTCCTGAAGGAAAGTGAAAGGTAAGCTAATGATAATTTTAAAAAGTGAAAGCAAAATTTGAAGAATTTTTTTCTTCTGAAATGTACACAGCAACCTTATTTAAATAGACATGACAGATGTTATCAACTTATGGGTTTTTGTAATCTCTACTGCAATTCTAAAGGAAAATCGAAAATAAAGCAATAAAACCTAAAGCCATTTACTGAATATAGTATACTACTGTGAATCAAGAATTTAAATCCTTCAGGGCAATTATATTGCTATCTCTATTATCAAACTGATAGATTTCTTGACTCAGTCTGAAAAACTTCAAATATTTAGTATGCAAAAAATTCAAATATCTATATGTTAACAAGTTTCAAACTTCTCTTATTAAATCTGAGGTTAATAAGAGAAACTTCCCTTAAAATACTGAGATATGGAACAGCATACCTACATTTTCACCATTTTGTTTCTCTCAAAACTAAAAATAAGTTAAGAATTGGGGTAAACTATTTTTGTAAGAATTTAGAAATATTACTGCATACATTGATCGCTTTATGTAATACCTGAAGAATTTAATGATGGTTTAAATTCACACACCACTCCAAAAATACCTCCCCTACTTTTATATACTACCAAATATTTTCAACCAAATAACACAAGAATGTGCTTTTCAAAAAAACAAAAACAAATCATCCCATCATGAGCCAACCTAAACATCTGCATAATAACTTCTAAAATAAAATCACAGAAAAAGATGGTACATAGTTAAAACTATTAATACATATTTCAGACAAAGAGTTTATTTTTCAATAAGAAAACAAGAAAAAAAGAGAGCCTGCCCAATAGAAATTTCCACCATAATTAGTGCTTTCCACCTCCAGGAAGAAGAGCTCAAACTCAGGGTAACCTCATGCAGTCAGGGAAAAACAGTATAAATACTGCAGGACTGCCCTGCAGAGGACACTTTCTGTACTGCTCACCTGGGCACCGGAGGGCTCAGAAAGCTGCCAAGAAACCATCTTCAGGAATTCTCAGCACCCAGGTAAGTCTATGACCCGATTCTCACTGGCCTTCCATACTACCTTATTTGGATACAACTATCAATAAATTTATGATTTAAAAAAAGTGCCTTTCCACTAAGGTGCTCTCAGAAAGTTTACGTTGTACCTGCCTATATAAAAGATAGTTTTAATAATGCCATATTTATAAAAACATGCCCTAAGCTGAATTTCAGTGTATTTTCAAACTTCTGGATATTTCAGTCTATGTCAAAGATCTTGAATTATTAGCACTGAATTATAGGCATCCAATTAAGGTTTTTGTGTTTCTGTTTTTAAAATCACTTCATGTTTACTTGATGACTTGAATGTGGTTTCCACAAACTAAGACATATTCATATAACTAAAAAATTAAAACTCTCATTAATTTATGGAATATATTCAAAATATATAGGATAAGGTAAAAAAGTAGGTAACTATAAATAACTCACCTGTGCAAACTCAAACTGTATGGAATTATTATTTTTTGTTTTTCAGAATCGAGCTGAGAACATGCTGCCCCAAACAGCCCTTTTGCTGCTAATGTCCTTGAACTTGGCTTATGGAGTATTTTATGCTGAGCGATACCAAACACCTACTGGTATAAAAGGCCCACTGCCCAACACGAAGACACAGTTTTTCATTCCCTATGCCATAAAGAGCAAAGGTAAGAGGAACTGTGCATTTTCTCCATAACTAGTTGGTTTGCTTGCTATGATCTTAATGATCTCTTCAACAAAATGCTTATTTAACTCTGACTGGCATTATTTTCAAACTCCCCAATTAGCCCAAAATAGTACAACAAAATATCTGTAGAAAAAGTAGGTCTATTCAAGAACATTAATATCCTTTACACAGCAAGTATAGTAGAAAGATACACATGAAGAATATTAACAGATCTTATGTGTGGGAGTTTTTCTCTCAAATAATGCTTTTGCACAAATAACTACCCATGATCTAGAATTATTAGTCCAGTGAAAATTAAGTTGAAAATAGTCTAACTAAAAATAATTGCCAATTGTACAAAGAGAGTAGCAGGCTTAGAGATTAAATACTTCAACATACTTAGTTTTATAACCTATGCAGCTACCCACAAATACATACAAAATTGAGTCTTAATTATCCTGTAAAATATGATGCTTTCCAAAGAAATTTAAGAGGCAAATGAAGTAGCAATTCTCGTAATTTTTTATACATTTTTTTGTGGTTTAATAGTTTAGTGCACAGACTTAAATCCTTGCACTAACTGTGACCTTGAGTAAATTATGAATCCTCCCTGTGCCTCAGCTTCCTAATTTGTAAAACAGGGAGCAGCTGTCTCAAAGGGCTATTTTGAAGCTTAAGTGAGTTAGTATCTTTAAATAGCTTAAGTGTTAGCTATTACTCTTCCTCCTCTTCTTCTTACTTCTATTTCTATGACTCCACCTCCTGCTGTAGTAGTACTGGTGGTGCAGCCTTTGGTAAGTCTTAACTTTCTTCTTGAATCCATTTCTCATCTGTTCAGCTTTCTCAGCTACTGAGAAGAGTACTGAGATAATGTACATCAAGTACTGAAAGATCCTCAAAGAAGGACATTAGGTTTCATATTCACTAATGCCATTTAATAGCATTGGACAAAAACTGCCTGCAAAACATTTGGATTAAACTGAATCAGCTCAAATGATTACAGGATTCAAGGATTCTTTCTGAAGTACTTTTTCATTATAGTTATTTATATTTATCCTGCAACCAAAGCTAAAGGTATTTATCATAAACTTCAAAAATTATTCTCTTGGAGACACCCATTTTGGGCAAATTAAACTTACAGGATTGTCTCTTTAAAAAGAGACAAAAATTTTAAGTATTTCATGAAAGGTAGTTTAATGTTTAGAAATAAATGCACAGATGCACAAGAGATACTCTTGAATGTCTCAAAATACAAATAACAAGAAAGAGAAAAGTTAGGAAAGACAAAATAAAAGATGAGACCTGCTACTTTACCTGAACCAATAAATGGCAATTTGAACCATGCCATGCAGCACTAGGTTCTCTCTCTATGATGACAAGACTTTTTATAGTTTACCAATATCATAAGAAACAGTCTTGTATTAAAAATAATGTGCGCCACTCTTAGGTTAAAAATATTCTATCTCCCCACCTCAATGTACTGTATTATCATAGCTATTTTTGCAGAATAAATGAAAATACATACCTTACTAATGAACGACAAGTTTAGAAGCTATATTTTGACTATTAAATCCACCTTAGTCTCTGCTTGATATACAAGGTGGAAACAAATACATTATCAACCACTGGTAGGCATAAATAAGGTGCTGCAATGAAGACAAAAACCCATAACTGATGCAAGTATAATACTAAGTTGGTAACAGAAACACAAAAAATTCCTAGTAATTTCTAGGCACATCTGTTCAACACAGGCTACAAGATTAGCTCAGCCAAAACACACCAGATTATGCTGTAGAAGTTTCCACAGCTGATGGGTACATGAATGCCACATTTTGACACAACCAACCGCCATTTCAGTTTGAGAGCATTTCAGAAACTTCTCCTCTGGGTAATCATTTTTCCTTGGGGATGGTATCACCTAATCTTTAATTTTTTCAGATGGCAAGCTACCAACAGGGGCTGTCCCCCAAGGAACACAACAGATGCTACTTTCTTTCTTGCACAGAAGTGAAAGACCCATTAGAGCAAAATTCCAAGTGGCAGAGATCACCCTGTCTTTGGAGCTGTAGTCTCAAACAATGTTCGGTGTAGACATTTTCAGTAAGACGTTTTTGTTTTCCTATTTTAACAGTTAAAAGGTTTCCAACTAGAATAAACAATTATTCAGTATGGGCATTACCTTTAAGAGATTCAGAAAAGATACGGAAGCAAACCACATTCTAACATAGTTTGCATTTAAAAAAATGTTATTTTATTTCAAATGACTAAGAAGTCTTTTACTTGTCTGTTTGCAATGTATAGACACTCATTTATACATATAGATATATCATATACGTACACTAAAAGTCAATCAACAAGATATGTATTAATATATAAAAATCTTTTCCATAAATGAACTTTTCTCAGTCTTTTTCCTGATGTGATTTTGTGAAAATCCACTAGTAAATAAAGCTCCATACATTCAAATGTTTGCAAAATGAAGTATGATTTTGAGTATAAAATATAGATACCCAAGTTGAAAATGATTTTCCTAATTCAGCCTATTTTAGTGATTCTGCTCTGTATTTTATATTTGTCTGTCACCAAAAAGTTTTCAAATATCAGGAACATCTCTACCCCAAGAGAATAATATTAGCAACTTCTGTTGGCTGATTAGTTCTTATCTGCCAGTTAATTAATGTGAAAATTTTTTCTAAATTTAATACTGTACCAACAAGTAATAGTTAAAGGGAACTATATCCACAAATGTGTTCAAAGGCAATTCACAGTTCAACTTATTTAATATTAATTCAACTTAGTCTTCATATTGGTTTTTAAAGCCATTAAAAATTTAGTTAGAATTTAAGATATTTTAATCATTTTTATACAAAAGAGATATGGCTCAAGTCATAGCTGTAAGTCATTGTCAGCGTTTTGACCAAATTAGTTAACTACTGTGACATTTACTACATCCACCATTACGATGAACCATCTTCCAACAGTATAAAATCTAAATATTATATGTAGGAATTCTAACAATGTTTCTGAAAATTTACCAAACAGAAAATGATTTTACTATAAATTCTGCAAGTAGGTATTTAGTATCATATGCAATTTTGCTATCATTTTTGCTAGCTATTAAAGACTTTCTCTGAGACAGTAATTTATGTAGATGTTCCTGATGATTACTGCCTACAGATTATATGAAGTATTATATGATAATACCTCCCTGTATCGCAATGCCAGCAATGCTGTTACATCCCACCTTTGAATGACTCAACTAAAACCTTGGATGCCTCTTAAAGCGCTTATCACATGAACACTTGCTTTACGCTTGTTGTGACTAAAACTCTTAGAAGACTTGTGTCCTGTTTTCCCACACATGTGACCCAGTGGCACTTTTCCCACTGCAGGCACTGAATAAGTACTTGTGAGTTTATTATCAGTAGAAGTATTTAGCTCAAATGAACCCACAGTTCTATGAAATCAACAGTATTTACTAACATCAATTAAAGGAAACTTTAGTTAAGCTCTTTAATGCTTTTTCATGCACCTTGCCCATTAGGTCTAATTCTCTAATTCCCTGTTTCAATTTTAAGTCAATAATGGAGAATGTAAGAGCTCACAGTATATAGGAAAGTAAAAAAAAAAATCAACCTGAATCTAAACTATGTTCAGCAGGGCCATGTAAATTAGACATAAATTAGAATTAACTGCTTTTCTCATTTGTCTTATAGAATAGCTTTTGTCAAGGAAAATTATTATAGGTCTTAAACATTTTATTATTCATTCTGCTTTTGTCTTTTTCTTCCTTTTCTGTCAAATACCTATTTTTTCTTTACTTTCCAGGTACATGATTTTCCTAAAATAAATGTGATACATTTACCTTCATAGCCCTCTTATTTTAGATGAATTCTTCAATCCCAGCTTATTTTTCAAGGATCATTAGGATGTAGAATATCATTGTAGCCATAGTTTTGTGTTTTTTAGTAGTGTCTTTTCTTTTTATTATTTATTAAGGTATCATTAATATGCAATCTTATGAAGGTTTCACATGAGCAACTTTGTGGTTAGTCATTCACCCATATTACCAAGTCCCTCAGACACACACTATTTCAGTCACTGTCCATCAGCATAGCAAGATGCTGTAGAGTCACTACTTGTCTTCTCTGTGCTACACTGCTTCCCCGTGCCCCCCTGACACTACGTGTTTATCATAATGCCCCTTCTCCCTCCTTCCCCACCTACCCTCCCCACTCCCTTCCCTTTAGTGACCGCTAGTCCCTTCTTGAAGTCTGTGAGTCTGCAGCTGTTTTGTTCCTTCAGTTTTGCTTCGTTGTTATACTCCACAAAAGAGTGAAATCATTTGGCACTTGTCTTTCTCTGCCTGGCTTATTTCACTGAGCATAATACCCTCTAGCTCCATCCATGTTGTTGCAAATGGTAGGATTTGTTTTTTTCTTATGGCTGAGTAATATTCCATTGTGTATATGTACCACATCTTCTTTATCCATTCATCTACTAAGGGACAGTTAGGTTGTTTCCATATCTTGGCTATTTAAATAGTTCTAACAGTGTTTTTAGAACAACATAAAATGTATTGTCTGAAACCACTCAAGACTAGTCTGCCAAAGTGGATTGACTGACATGGCAATGTCATATCTTCATTCATGAGATGAGAAGCAATGATTCCTTAAAATACTAACCATGCCCCTCTCTGTGTGTGTTGGTTATGTCTTTTAGGTATACCAGTAAGAGGAGAGCAAGGTATTCCTGGCCCACCAGGCCCATCTGGACCTCGAGGGCACCCTGGTCCATCTGGACCACCAGGGAAACCAGGCTATGGGAATCCTGGTCCCCAAGGAGAGCCAGGCTTGCCAGGACCACCAGGACCAACAACTAGTGGGAAACCAGGTCTGCCAGGGCACCAGGGAAAGCCAGGAGAGAGAGGACCACATGGACCAAAAGGAGATATTGGACCAGCTGGTTTACCGGGACCACAGGGCCCACCAGGGCCACCTGGAATCCCTGGTCCAGCTGGAATTTCTGTTCCAGGAAAACCTGGACAACAGGGACCTATAGGAGCCCCAGGACCCAGGGGCTTTCCTGGAGAAAAGGGTACACCAGGGGTCCCTGGTATGAGTGGCCAGAAAGGGGAAACAGGCTATGGTGCACCTGGCCGCCCAGGTGAGAGGGGCCTTCCAGGCCCTCATGGTCCCATGGGACAATCTGGCTCTCCGGGAGTGGGAAAAAAAGGTGAAAATGGTCTTCCGGGACAACCAGGAATCAAAGGTGATCAGGGTTTCCCAGGAGAAAGAGGACCAAGGGGCCCACCAGGTCCCCAAGGTCCTCCAGGGGAGCAAGGACCAGAAGGTACTGGAAAGCCAGGAGCTCCTGGGGCCCCAGGCCAGCCGGGAGTTCCAGGGATGAAAGGATGCCCTGGGGCTCCAGGAATGGCTGGGCCCCCAGGGGCTCCTGGCATTGGGAAACCAGGATTGCCAGGCCTAAAGGGACAAAGAGGTCCTGTCGGACTTCCAGGGATTCCAGGTGCCAAGGGGGAACAGGGCCCAGCAGGCCATCCTGGGAAGCCAGGTCTTACTGGGCCCACTGGAAATATGGGGCCCCAAGGACCGAAAGGCATCCCTGGGAGCCATGGGATTCCAGGCCCCAAAGGCGAGATGGGGCCAGCTGGGACTGCAGGGCAACCTGGGGTGAAGGGAGAAAGTGGCTCCTCTGGGCTACCAGGGAAGCCAGGACTCCCAGGAGAACCAGGTATCAATGGACCCAAGGGTAACCCAGGGTTACCAGGGCCAAAAGGTGATCCTGGACTTAGAGGACCTCCTGGTCTTCCAGGCCCTGTGGGCCCAGTGGGAGCTAAGGGAGTACCTGGATACAGTGGTGAGGCTGGGCCAAGAGGGGCCCCTGGAATACCAGGCACCAGAGGTCCTATTGGGCCACCAGGCATTCCAGGATTCCCTGGAACTAAAGGCCACCCAGGAACTCCCGGTCCTCCTGGTCCAGCTGGCATAGCAACTAAGGGTCTCAATGGACCCACAGGGCCACCAGGGCCTCCAGGTCCCAGAGGCCACACTGGGGAGCCTGGCCTCCCAGGGCCCCCAGGACCCCCTGGTCCCCCAGGCCAAGCAGTCCAGTCTGAGGGCTTTATAAAGGCCAGCCAAAGGCCTCTTGTCAGTGCCAACCTGGGAGTAACAGGAATGCCTGTGTCTGCTTTCACTGCTATTCTCTCCAAAGCTTACCCAGCTATAGGTACCCCCATCCCATTTGATAAGATTTTGTATAACACACAACAGCATTATGACTCAAGAACCGGTCTCTTTACCTGCAGGATACCTGGAATATACTATTTTTCCTACCATGTGCATGTGAAAGGGACCCACGCGTGGGTGGGCTTGTATAAGAATGGCACTCCCATCATGTACACTTATGATGAATACGCCAAAGGCTACCTGGATCAGGCCTCAGGGAGTGCCATAATCGATCTCACAGAGAACGACCAGGTGTGGCTCCAGCTGCCCAATGCTGAGTCAAACGGGCTGTACTCCTCTGAGTATGTCCACTCATCTTTCTCAGGATTCTTAGTGGCTCCAATGTGAGCATATTTCCACCATAACATAAAGCTGCTTGAAAAGGCATTCCCCTACTCTGCCCTAACCCACAAAATATATCTGAGGTAGGCTGAAAAAAAAAAAACATGACAGATCTTAATTTTCCAAAATACAGATTTGAGCTTTCAGACCCACAATTTCCCCCCAGAAAAAGTGAGCAGCAATAGTAGACAAGATCTGAAGACCCCCTCAAATTTCTAGCCAGCAATCCTAAGACTCTTTAAAGTCTTCTCAGAACTCCTTATTTGAAAATTTCACCATAGAAGTACTGCTAAGTTAAAAGAACAAAATGGCAAAAAAAAACCTTGAAATGTGACACTAAATTATGATAATTTTGATTTCAGAAACTCTGCATTTCCTTTTAAATAAGTCTGTTTCCAACAATTAACAAGAGAACTTCTAGGAAACACTCAGGAGGTGTCATGTATCTTTACTGAACTAAATACTTGTATATTGAAATTTAAAAGACAGTTTGTACCCCAAATCTTTCTTTCTAGAGTTGGCATTACTCGATGGTTTATATGGTCCCTTTCATCAAGATCTATTCAAATAGATAGGTGCATATACATTTTTTTACAGCTCTCATAAAATAACAAAATGTTATGTTAAAATTAATCTAAAATGCAAGGTGCTTTAGTCATGAACCTTTTCAAACTTTTCTGTGATTGCAGAAAAAGTTTCTTTATGTCTTTCACAATTTGGAAATGGGTGTCTGACCTATTTTATATATCTAATGCAAGTGTGATTTATTTGCTTCCTTTATTGAATCTGATATAATACGATTTTTTGGTTTACAGAGCATTAACATGTATACCTTGGGCCCTATTCTGGTGAAATTATAACTAATATCAAGTGTTTAAAAATCTGACTAGAAATGGAAAGACATTATTTATTTATGCTCTCTGTACTGTATTTTTGTGTTGCTATTTAAAACTTTTAAGCTGTGCCTCATTTATTAAAGCATGAAATGTTTTACCTACTCCTTATTTACAAGGCAATAAAATAATATCACTAAGTTTTTATACTGACTTTCCTTGACAGCAGCAATTTGCTATTTTCAACCATTCTTTTAAGGCTTTTCATTTTACAAAGTTAATAAAAAGCAAAACAATAAAGTGGTGGGTGGCTTTTACAGCTGTCATGGACATGCCCCTCTACTGGAGATGGGCATCCCCACACCCACACCTCAGTGTGAACTGTGAGATGGCATCTGCAGAACCACATGTGGCCCCCAAATCAGGCAGAAGGGCTGATGACTGTGCACAGAAAAATGAAACAATCACCCCAAAGCAGAGATTTTCTTCTGGAAAGGAAAGAAGCAGGTGGCAGAGAATACATAGTTTGAACACATATTCTGCCATTACTATTTACTGACTTGACATGTTTTTAGTCATAATATTTAGGATTATCTTGATGGCTTACACTACATTAAAAGGAAGACAAGCCATTTTTATGTCAGTCAAAAGGCAACATTTTTCTAAGCTGAAAAACAGTGCTCTTGAGAGTCTATCCATCCAGTGGTTGAACAGGGAGTCTGGTTCAAGTCACCGGGGTAGCATACCATCAAGGCATCTCTTTATTTCTTGGACTCAATCTCTGTGTAACTGAAGCAAACCTGGTAGATGGAACCACAAAACCCTAGGCCCAGGTTGGCGATACCTCTGTCCCCATTCTGGGTTAACTGGTTCTGTTTTTAAGCAATAAGAATAGAAATTTTGCTTTCCCTGTCTATAGCTACTACACTAATGGTTACAGGTGTCACCAACCCTCATTCCCAAGGGAGAAAAGAAGCAAAGCTGGAACTTTAACTCTGGGGAACCTATGAATGAACCTATTGGCAGGCATGTAAAAAACAACACAGCTCAGAACACTGCAATTGTGGCCATGAAAAAGACATAAATAAAGGACCCTCTTAAAAAATGCAAGCAGTACCAACTTTCTAGAAAAGTTTAAGATCAAATTAAATCCTAACTAAGGAACATGGCAAAATAGGTTAAGTTCTAAGTAATTCTCTAGGCACACAGGATTTAACAATCATCTATTAAAAAGTCTTACATTACTTACCCTTAAAAGCTGACATTTTATAATTGTGTTGTATACCAGCAACTATATCCTTCCAAAAATCAAATGTTTTCTGACCATTGTTCTGCTAAAAAAAAAATTCCCAATGTAACACATGTAATAATTCTGTTTTTAAGGACAGAAGAAAATACTCAGCAAATAATTACTATGTTACTGTATTCTAAAATAGAAACTTAATAAACTTTCACTCTTCTAAATGTGATTTTAGAAAGAGAAATCTTCCATGGAAATCACTGCTACACACACACACACACACACACACAGGACTAAAAATTAATAGAGCTCACAAAACCCGAATAAAATAAAAACTTCTAATCACTACAAAGTCTAAGATTATGGAATATTTTAAGCACATGAGTAAATTTACAGTGTTGTAACTTCTAAGATACCAGAAAGTATGATGCTGCTTTGTGCACCATGGCATCAATGGGGCTGAGAACCCTGAGGCCGCAAGCCTCCCCAAGCTGGTTACTTCAAAATTCAGTGCACATTCACCTGAATTTCAATATCAAAGAGCAGCAAATCCCTGCAGAAGAGACAGAGGTTCCAAATCCAAAATGTAAATCATTTTTATTGAGACTTTTTTAAAACCATGAAGCAAATAAACATCACACTAAAACACAGGAATTTTAATGTAATTAACTGAAAATAGAACTGCATTCAAATTCTGTGTTTTAGTGCTACCGCCCTTTGCTTCATTGCAACCATTATCCAATATCCTTCTAACAAAATCTAACTAATTATTTGTATCTAATTATACAAACTCTGAATATTTAAAGACATACATTTGCTTGCAGTCACTATGAAATGAGAAAGTGATTCCATCTCATGTTAATAGCAGTTGCCACAAACATACTAGAACTATGGCACAACAGAAACTTTTGTATAACTGTAATTCTGATTCAAAAATGAACCATGACACATGTTCTATCATAAACACGATGATTATGATTTTAAAAAGACAACACATGCAAGGAAAGTGATTCTGACATAACTGGTTTGTGTTCACAGGTCTTGAATTTTAAGTATAAACTGATATAACCTATTTTTTTATACTGTACAAAGGAAAAATCTGTATGTATTCAGCTATGCCCAAAATGATTTAAAATTTAAATAGTTCATCTCATTTTTCTCAGTTTCTATTATTTAGAAAGCTTAAAGACACATGGATTTTTCTTAATTATCTTTAGTGTTTTTTATTCTGCTAATGAAACCAATAAAATATCTTTTCTAGATTCAAGTTCTCTATTTTCTTTTCCTAGATGTTGGCACCCCCTGCTGGAGAATAGTTTTACTATCGTTGGGTGAAAAAATGGTCCCTGCTATGTAATTTTCCAAAACTATTTCAAGTAAATTTTCTGTTTTCTTCCTCAGTCACCTCTGAAACCACAATGACGAAATTGAGGAAAATCTCAACTCAAAGACATATAACTAAGTCCTCTGATTTATGACTAAATAAATATCATAGTTTTAAAAAATGAGTCCCCACACACCTTTGTTAAAGAGTCCACCACTCTGGCACATAGAAGAGCTCCTGGCAGGTCAAAGTAGTTATCATAAAAATAGTATTTTCCTAAAAAAGAAAAAATTTAAAAATGAGAACAAATGAGTAACTCATTTATATAACATACACAGAAACTTAACTGAAGAGACACTAGATTTTGGCTTAGTTACTTAAAGGAGCCTCTATCTCGATTCAGAATGGCTCCATTACAGGCTATCTGTCTTTTTAAGAAGATTTAATCTAAAAGGTTACTTACTATAAGAAAGTTAAAATATGATATCCATAAAAGTTAAGCATTTTAATTAAACAATGTTTATTTTCTTAGTGTTAAAAACTAAAAATAGACTGTAACACAAATACAAAATGGATTATGAAAAAGCCACAACTTATCTTATTAGTGTCACTGAATTTCAAAACAATCAACTGAAAGCTGGAATACCACAAAGTGCTCCAAACAATAAATAGTGCCTTTCCACATCTGTGCTGGTTGGCTCACCTACAGTACTGCATTCAAATTCTATGCAATTTTAAACATATCTCAGTACAATGTGAGAACAATCAGGGTGAGAGGAATAAAAAAAAATCATTATCATGTGAAGACACAGTGTGTTTATTTTAGAAAAACTCAGGAGCACAGGACATGCACATTCCAGGGTCCAAGGAAGAGAGGGATTTGATTTATCCTGTTTAACCCTAGGATAGAATTAAACTTGAAGCATTCCTTGGCAGAGTCACTTTTGAATCTTCTTTCCCTAGCAGACACTTTTGATGACCCATGTTATGTCACATCTCTTTGGCTCATGTGTGATCCCAAAAATGTTACTTTATTGCATTTTAATTAAGGAGTAGGTAAAACGTTTCATGCTTTGTGAGGCACAGGTTAAAATTATAAACAGCAACATAAAAATATAATACAGAGAGCATAAATAAATAATGTCTTTTCATTTCTAGTCATCTTTAGAACAACTGTTACTTCTATTTACCCTGGATATATTTACAGAAGTGCAAAATACACATGTATGAAAATGTCACTGAAGGCTTGTGTGTAATGGCCAAATACCAGACACAATATAAATGAACACTGTGAGGGGACCAGTGAAATATATTATGGATGGAACTAGACGGTATAGCACTCCAGCTTTTCAAGGAATGAGGTACCTTTGTGCATGTGCCAATGGCATAGGCTAAGATGTAAATTACAAACAGCAAAGTACAGAAAATGTATGATCCCTTTTGTACGCTTTTAAAAAATAAGCTCTAGGGAAAAAGGATTCTGGGGAATAGGGGCTGGATTTCATTTCATTTCTGGGATAGGCTCTCATTTCATTTCTTTCCATAATATTATTTCTTAACTATATGCTCACATTATTATTTTTTTGATGTAAACAAGGTTTAACTGGGTTTTAGAACCACAGGCCCTTTTTTCCTATGTCTCCACATTTAAAAAAATAGCAAGTATTCTTTTTTAAAGGCCTTAGATTTCTCTTATTTTGTAGAAACAATAGGCTGTGGTAATGTGTCACTACCTGACCAATGGGCACTTGGATGGGAAACACTTTCCTAGCCAACTCTAATTAAGAGCAGTAAACTACAAGACCCCCACCCTCAGAGCACTCCTGGGTAAATGAAGCACCAGGGGGAAGCCAATGATCCCAAGATGCAGCAGGTAAACAGGTGGGTCACCTTGAGTGAATGCTCTTTTCATAGCTGGGAAATATTTCACTTCTTTAAAATACTCCCTGTTTCTGAATGAATGTCTGAGTGAAACACTTAGTCATGTGCCAAGCTTTTCTGGAAGAAAGGAAGAGCTTATTTACAACTGCCTGTATCTGGGGAGACAACCACAGTTCTCCATTACCACTTGAGTAAAAGGCTATATACCCATTTAGCTTCCACTAGCTATTTTGAATCTTACCCTATGAAGAAACAGCTGATGTGTGAAAGCATCCTATGTCTAACTCCAATGTAAAATCTGTTTTTCCTATCAACTTATTTTATCATATTTCCTGACAGTCTCATGTCACTACAAAAAACCCAAAAATTTCAAAAGACAGCGAATATCACCAACAAAGCAAACACAACAGTAACAGGAAATAACTTCAACTATTTTCAGGTTACTGCATTTCGTGTTACTGTGTGTATTTGTAAGGTGAACAGGTGCATTTCAAAACTGTGGTAAAGGAGAAAATGGCCAAAAAAATTTAGACAAATGAGAAACTAACAATTATGACTTTTAATGAGGTTTATGTGTTTATAATTATGTTTTAACCTTTCCTTATTAATTTATGCATATCTGTCTATAAATAACTTTTGAAAAATCTTTTCATGGTTACCCATGAGGGCAGGAAAAAAATGCGTAAAATCATTTAAAATAAGGGGGGAAAAAGATACTAGAACTAGAAGTAAAGAAAAGAATTCTAGAGAACAGGAGAGGGAATATGAACGTGGGGAGAAAAGGAGAATAGGGAAAAGTAAGATTGAGTGCGTAATAAACTAACAAGAAATACCAACAACTGAGGAATGTATTATTCCTAAGTGCTAGTCTTTTTATTCCAGAACAAAGTAAAAAGTCAACAAAAACCTTAAATAAAACAGAACCAACTGTCAAAGACAAATAAGACATATGTGGGAAAACACATATCCTATTCCTATAAAACTGCAGCTGCTCCCTGTGCCTGGGAGGCAAGGACACCATTCTTTGTGTCCTCACATAGCAGATTTAGGGTTCAAAACAAAAGGGGAGGGAATGGTGGCGCTGCCCCACATGAGCCATACCTGATCGGCAAGCCATGCCAGTGTCCGACATGAAGTGCTTCCACTCCTTTCCGCCATACTCCTCCGCCAGTGCTTCTGGAGCCATCAGTTTTGTGCCATGGCTGGCCCTGGTGGGGATGTGCGGCACACTGCTCATCAATGGCTCCCTTGAACACCCTTTCATCCAGCCTTGCTATTGTTAATCCTCCCTAAAACTAATTAAGTTTTCTTTTTTTCCATTTTCAACTGGATGATTTCCCCCACTTAGGATTCTACAAGGCATCTCCTTTGACAGTTCCAGCTCTTCCTCCATTCCATCCACCACCAGCAGGTGATCAGAACAGCTTACTCTGAGGTCCACACTGACAGCTGCTCTGGACCTACAGTATGCAAACTATTTCTCTAGAAGAAATGACACATCACCCTTCCTAAGAAGTTGCCATTTAACTACAAAGGTAAGATTAATGTAATTGAAAAATTAGGAAACAACTGCATGGACTAGAGGGGTTGGGGGAAAGGGAGCTAGTCTGGCAGCAGGAAAGAGCAGCAGGTAGGAGTCAGTGTGTGAGCTGTACCAGGTCCGCAGTAGCGGTGGCAGACACCTGGCACCCAGGCGTGGGCTTGCTGTGAGTGGAGACACAGACTTGGAAGAAGGGGGAACAATCTGCCAGTTCAAGGACACAATGCAGCTAAAAATACAATGGGAAACAGCAAGACAAATGTGGTAAAACTGAGAACAGCAAGACAAGTAGCTACTTTCTATACTCAGAATATTGCTTTTGCCAATTGGGCCTGATTAAGAGAATCTTACCCTATAAAGAAATAGTTGATATTTTATGTAGTTTATTATGAGAAACTATAATGCTAGGCAACATAATTTTTCTTCTCTTGGTGTAATATTATGCTAGCAAAGTGAAATGAAGGGGAAAATAAATATAAGAAGGGCAAATGGAAGAAAAATCACAAATAGGTTCCTTTCTATAAAGGGGCTAATGTTTCAGAAAGCTGTATGTATTGATGGAGGAACCCTGAGTGGGAAATATAATCAGACTGAGAATCTACTATATCGGATGAAAGCAGGCATCAAGAAGGCAAGCAAGTAATCTCAGGAGAAACTGCAGGTCAGCTAGAACCTGAATGGAGGTCAGACCTCAGTAGAGGTGTTGGAAGGCAGGAGAGACAGACAGACATAACACTGAAAAAAAATGGCAAAACTGCGAATGCTTTCCATTCTTCCAACCATGACTGAAACAGCCAAGTACACTGTAAGAATCTGACAGGAGAGATAAAGGTCACAGTTAGAGCTACATTGTGTATATAGTTGGCCCTCGAACAGCATGAGCTTGAATGCACAGGCCCACTTACACGAGGGATTTTTTTCAGTCACTCTACTGGAAGATTTTTTTGGAGATCTGGCACAATTTGAAAAAACATTTTTCTTGAGTTTACTGTAAAAATAAAGTATATAATACATATCACATACAAAATATGTGTTCATGGGCTCTGTATGTTATTGGTAAGGCTTCTAGTCAATAGTAGGCTATTAGTAGTTAAGTTTTAAGGAGTCAAGTAAGTTGTACATGGGTTTTCAAACTGTTCTGGGGGAGTCACTGTTCCTAACCCTCACACTGTTCAAGAGTCAACTATATCTATATACAGACATAAAAATGAAAATATACATTTATTCTGGTTACCTGGGGAAAAACATGCAAATGAATAACAAAATAATCAGTGGGCGGGCATATATATTCTAGTTAGCTGCACCTCAGGGAAAGGTCAGAGTGAGAGTGTGAGTTTGTACCATGCAGAAAAAATGAAGTATCAAAAGAGAGAGTATGTACAAGGGGTAACCTCTGTTGAGCTTCCTCTCCTTTGACTCTGATCAAGGTAATATAAATAATGAATTGCATGGCTCCATGGCCACGTTGACTTGCCTGTACTACTGGCACAGGGTTGGAGGTGGGGATAGATATTCACTCCCTGGTACTCTCAGTAAGATGCAGAGCGGTGATGGTGACTGCTGCTCAATAGCTTGCCCTGCTCTCACCAACACTCAAAGTGCAGAGGAATAAAAGGGAGTCAGCAATGAGTGTAAGTGGTGGGGAGAGATTGCTGAAGGTTAGAACAGCCTAGAAAAACTTACACAAGCTGCCGGAACACAACATGAGTCCTGCAAGATGGGGGCAAATTTGGATAAATGGAAGAAAGAACAGTGTGCACAGATCACCAGCCCTATGCAACATTCATTTTCTCCTCTTATTTTAATAAAAAGAATTCCATTTTTATTTCAGACACTTACGTATCCATCTAATATAATATACTTCCAAGGTTCTTTTGCAGTAGGATCAGTCAGTGAAATGAAACAAGTTATTAACATTCCACTCTCTTTCCTACAGATATTTCTGATGAGTTAAATTTAAAAGTATTAGACCTTTAAATCTAATGCTCCCAGGTTTGTATTTAAATCATTCAAACAATTCATACAAAGAAATGCAGGCACACAGATAATCTGTCATCTGATTGACTAAAATAATAGTTTTATTTAATACATACCTTAACAATCAAATGCTATATAGCAATAAAGTATCCTGGACAGAGTAAAGTTTTGACTTCACAACTAAATTTTATTACCTGAGCACTGTGCCATTGTCTCCAAGTTTAATGAAGTTCCCATCTTCCAGATCCAGGGCCAAGCCCTTACAACTAAAATAGAAAATTTGATTACCAATTGATTCATATATAAAGCCAGCCCAAGAAATAATAATTTCTATTTTCAAAAAGTCACAATGCTAAAAAGGGATCTTCTCCCACTCAGGTAAATAATACATTTATCAAATGAATAAGAATATCCCAAAATTCCAAAGTTAAATATCCACAGGGCACATGTATAAGGAAAACTCATGTGGGCAAATGAAGGAGAACATTTTTGTAAAATCCTTAAGCTTTTACAAAAAGGAATCCAAAATTCAAAGAGAACAGAAAATAAACATTATTGCATGTATCTGTTAAAACGTTCACATGTTTTCTAGTAAATAAAACACACATACACGCACCATTTATATTCTTCAAGATAAGCTCTTAGCCAGAGTCTCTTCTATACCCTTTAGAATTTGCCTCAGTTTAGGTAAGGTTGTAAGAACTTACCATCTAGGTAAGGCATATTATTGAAAACCACTAAAAGAAAGTCAAATACTAAGTCTTAGGTTCTTCACTATAAAAGACTTGTGGAATCTGAGGAGAAAAGTGGGTATTTTATGAATAATACAAGCAAGGAGGTATATAGTCAACAAATACCAAGAGAAACAAAAAAAAATGACAGGGTATTTTAGAAGCATTATTTACTTTGGTCCACAGTAAAACTTCCAGAGTCAGTGGTTTTTATACAGTAAAATGTTTGTTTCTTCCTTTTATAAAAGTGATACATCAAAAAAAAGACTGACCTAACATTAGAGGAAATGTATAATACATGAACATCATTGTTCTAAAATTACTTCTGCATGTATTTTCCATGTGTTTTAGAATCATTATTAATTTCCAACTGAACAATTTAAAGTGTAGGATTTTTGTTTCTGATGTTTAAATGAGGAAGAGAAACGAACGAAGCCTTGGGAAGCTGAGAATCCTAATCCAGGAAGAGAGTTAGCAGTGAGAGCGTTAGACACAGGAATGCCTACCAAAATTGCGGACAGCCAAAGGTCCTAATTCAGTCAAAACATGATGATTCTTCTTCTTACTACAGTTCTGCATTTGAAGAGCAATAAAGCAAACTTTTTTTTAAGGTGTAAATTTGACACAGTTCTTAATACCCTCTGAAACTCTTATGACAAAATTATACCATACAAACATACCCAAATTAGTCTCATAAGCTCTTAGCTTATTTTCATAATTAAGTCTAAACAAGTAAAACAGACTTTAATTCATTAAATATAAAACTTTCAGTACAGAAGGCATTTTGTCCTTTGACTAATTTCACATTTCACTTTCTGTCTCCATAAAGAGGAAGCATTAAAATTTTATCAGCAACAATTAAGAATCAGATGCAATGTAGACCTTGAAAAAAAAGAACTTACCAGAAATCCCAGTCCTCTGGAGGCACAGTGAGCAGCTCCTTGTCATACCCTTTCTCCTTGACCAGGAACTGGGCAAAGCTATTATAAATGAGCTATAAATAAGAGGAATGAAAAAATTAAGATTAAATGTAAAATTCACTTTGATTCTTAATTTCACAGACCTGATAATGTACCAGAATCACGCATGGGGCATGCGGGAGGGACATGTCTAACTGTGAAGTTCTGCAGTTTAATCTTCCTCTGGAAGCAATTTATCCACTCCTGTAAGTCCCAGGTAGCTGTTGTATCTTTTTTATATTCCAAAATTATGCTGTCAGAATACAATTACAGAATATACAACCAAGGACAATTATTAATCTTCCCCACTTCTAATGGGTTGTTGATCATTAAGACTTGAAAAAGCTTTGTAAACTTATTTAACACTTCACCAAGACAACAAACATTCTGACCGCTCTATTACCACACCTGTCCCCAGTCCATCTCTAATAGAAAGGCCACATCTCATGGGATAAAGTCGATCCACATATCAGAACTCACAAAATGGAGGCCACCCCTGTGGACTGGGCCATGTCACAAATCTAAACCTAAGTCATCCTGCATTTACAGAAAATAGCTGTCAAGAAAACCTGACATACACCATCACAACCCTCCAACTCAACTTTAACTAGCTTGCCGTATTCTAGAAAATAGACCATGCCCTGTTTCCATGTTGCCTCTTCCGATGCTCTATAAAACTCTCTCTTTCCCAGAATCACTGATTGTAAGGCACTGTGCTCCCCATCTATGGGCTGCTTTCCCTTGTATAAAGGATATCACACTCGTTACTAAGTTGCTTTAGTTTTGTCATTTGACACAGAGGAATCTCACGGGAAAATACACATGGGGACCTGGCAGGTTACTGAAATAGGAATCGTGGTACCTCCAACAGACACAGGAAACACCTCTTATTTCTCTGCCATAAGAGAAACTGAGGACAAAGGAGGCTTCTAGGAGCAAGTACAAAAATACATGCTTTGCTGATTTCTGACAGCAATTCTAATTCTCAACAACAACCAAAAAGAAAAAAAAAAAGACCTCAAACCTTTGAGTGATACGCCTTTTCTTTTTAAAAGAGCTGTCTTAATTTTTAAAGAACTATACATACCAAACAAAAAGCAGGCAAAAACAAAGAGCAGTGGATGGCAACACTGGCTCTACCCCATTTTCCTTCAAGAGTGTTTGTTTCTAGGCCAGCATCAGATGCTCTTGAATCTGAGGCAGAATGGTGCTCTGGGGTCAGATCGATGACTGTCCAAGACAGAGTGGGCAAGCAGAGCCCTCCGTAGATGTTAATCCATGACATGTTTTGGTAGCATGGAAATGAACATGGGGGAGAGGGCAGAGACACAGCAAAGGGAGCAAGGAAAGGCCTCCCTGAGGTGGTGACAGTCACACTGACACCTGCAAGGTGCAGCAGCTGACTGGGTGAATCCAGAGGGAGTGCGCAGGCCCAGAAACTGAGAGACATGCACATGCCTTGAGATGAGGGTTCAGTATGAGTGTCAGATTAGTGTAAATAAATCAATGGCTCCTTGTCAGATATGCTGTTCTCTGACATAAAGCTAAATAAAATCACTATTCATGTACTCCCAATGCAATGCAGTGTGACCTTGATCCAAGTTAATTGTTAACAGATCAACATTGTGTCAACACTAATATATCAACTGTTTTCAACCCTGGCAGTGATTCAGAACCACAGGTGATGGTTCTTAAAACTACCCAGAAAATTCCAAGCCTACAGGACAGGGTGGTGCCCAAGTGAGGCCCATACAGGATTCCTGAACTCCAGAGATGACTGAAAACCAATGACTTATATGTCATATGGATTTTCATTCAATGTTAAACTAAACAAATAAAAAACATATTGAGTCATTCTGAGGTAGAGTATGACAGACAATAATACATACACATCATGAACTTTCCTGCAAGGAACCAGTGTTGTGGGATTAACAGATGTAATATTCTTAGAGCCACAGGGCCTGACATAAAAGTAAACTCAAAAGTATTTGCTATTATTATCAGTTGAGTGCTGGTTAAAAAAAGCCCCGACAAGTAGTTTGCCCATTCCCATGGTTCAAATATTCCCGCCACAGCCAGTTTCAAACTACCAGTGGTTACTGCACACTGTTAAACTTGCCTGTGGTCAAGGCACTTTATATGGTCTTGGACAATTGGAGTTTCTCACCCCTTGGTAATAATGACAGAGAGGAATCGGCCATGTGATTCCAGTGAGGTGAGACACCTCCCTAGGAGAAAGGAGCCCTTCTCGGCAGGGCTGCCAACAGGGGCATCCACAGTGTGTTCCTTCCCTGGTGGAGGAGGTGTTTCTGTCATAGGAAAGAACAAGGTCAATGTGTGAGGACAGCAGAGACCAGCAATGCTGGGAAAGCAGGGAGGCCAAGCTGCCTCCTAAACTTCTGTTTAGCCCCAAGGCCTTGGTTGTTGGCGCTTTTCCTTAAATCATGCTGAGCACCCACCATACAGCTCATGACACAGGGCCTGCAAGGCCCAGCAGCAGCCTTCCTCTCACAGCTCCAGCTGCGCTGCCTCCCTCCCAGTCTCGCGTGGCTGATGACAATGCACACACCACAGCGATTACGATTTGGTGCTCCGTGGGCCATACACAGATCACAAACTATGGTTCCCACTTAAGGTTGCCAGGTAAAATATGAAATTCCTAGCTGAATTAGATTTTCAGATAAACAATTTTTTAGTATAAGCATATCCCATGCAGAACATTTATTTACTAGAAATGTTTTTGTTGTTTGAAACTGAAATTTAGCTGGGTGCTCTGTATTTTTCTTTGCTGTATCTGGCAACCTAATATCCCTGGTGCGCCGAAAACAAGATTAACATTTAGGAATGGAGAGACTTCTCATACCCGGTTTCTAATTTGTCTTCAAGAATTACATCTGGCAAGACAGAGCCCTTACTTTCTCATGGTAAATAACAGCAGGAGTCCAGTGTGGCTCCACCTTCAGAAGGGCACACTCTCCTGGATGCCCTGGACCTCATTCTCTGCTCACACTTGCAGCTTGACTGCCTTGCCTCATGCACTTCTGATTCTGCACCCTAGAAAAGCACAGGTGTCATTGCCCCTTTCTGGGCCCCAGTGAGGTCACACACCCAGTTCCACATCCACATACCACTGTGCTAACTAAACGATCAGAAGACTGCAGAGAGAGGCACTTGCAGCCTTCCAGGATACAGCTACCACTGACCTCTCCAGCATCTTCTGAGACTCCCTGTCTTCTGCTTGCCCCCAGCCGTTCCTGTGCCATTTCTCACCTCTATGTCCCTGCCCTGCTTTCCTTCCTCTGCCTGAAGAGCACCTCCTTTCTGCCTCCTCCCCTGTCAACTGTAATTCTCATGTCGGGATCCAGTTCAAACATCAACATGCAGGCCTCTCTTCTGGGTTCCGCAGCACATGATGGTGGGGGACAGAAACCAACCAGAAGACCACCTTGCCCGGGGCCCTGGATAAGCCAGTTACCTTTTTTGTACCTGGTTTCCTCATCTCTAAATAACAATTATGATGATAACATCTATATCACATGGTTGTTAAGGATCAAACCAGTTCACCTAAGCAGAATGCTTATCAAAATAGTGGCTATGCCATATTCAGTTATTAAAATACCTATTATTTATTCGATCATTCCACAATTACTTATGGAACCCAAGCACTCAGCTGGGTACATAGAAGCAACAATGAACTGTTAGAGATACTGATGTCAAGGAGTCTGGGCTCTAGGCTCTAAGGAGAGTCCAAAAAATAAACAGGAAATTTTAATGCTGTCTAAGTGCTATGAGAAACAAAGGGTTTTATGGGAAACTGGAAGTGGGTTGTGGGTGGAAGGACTGGAGGGCTTGGGAAGGCTTCCCAAAGGGAATGCTATATTTAAGAGTTGATGTGATGAAGGGAAGAGGGCCTCCAGGCAGGTAACAGTCTGCAGCTAGGTCCAGGCAGTACTGTCCTCACCACAGGGTACTTTTCTGCTAAATTTCAAGCATCTACACTCATTGAAGGCCTGTGTGTTATCTGTATCCCCAGGTCTGTTGTGCTCAGCACATTACTAGTAAATGTTTAAAAGCCAAACAGGATTCAAAACAAACTAGGTTACTGTTTTCAATCTTGAAACATCACTTTTGTTCAAGGCTTGTAGTAAATAATTCTTGTCTTCAAGGATCTTGTATTCTGAAATTTTATGCTCACACATGCACAACACTGGTTCTAACATGATGGTGGTTTAACAACTTTTTTCAAATGAAGGTGACTAGAGATGCCAAAAAATGTGAACCAGGAGGGGATTTGAAAATATCCACAGAGGGAAGGAAAATATTGATCAAAGACCTAGAAGAAGTAGTGGCCAAAGGATAAAGAAGTTAAGAAAAGCCTTCTCAATTCTCACTATGAGTAAGGGAACACTTACTTAGATGAAAAGCAGAAACATGTAATAGCAGCAACTATATTTCTAAGCATCTGTGCAGAGAACACTAGAGTTATTCAGACACTTGTTTTGCCCTTTGACAGGTAACCTGAACTGCTGATAGTGGCACCATAATGAGCAGGCCTAGCTGTCTGCACCAGAGGCTTAAAGGTCTACCCATAAATGGCTTGGGTGGTAACAATAAAAGTAAACCATACAAGACTCTATGTGCCAGACACCGCTCTACGCATTATATATCTACTGCCCATTTGCAACAACCTTTTGAAATAAATCCAATTGTTAGTTTCATCTTATAGATGGGGAAACTAAGAATAGAGAAATGAAACTTGCTCAAGGTCACAGAGGTAGTAATGCAGGAGCTGATACCCTAAGTCTGGTTGCAGAATCCTCCCTTTGACCAGTGTGCTCCTGATTAGCTCTTTTTTAGTTTCTATGTTTAGCTTTTGATTTAAAAAAAACCTGCGAAATTTTCAGAATTACTTTCCTTGTGAAGCCAAAGGAATTGGGGAGAAAGATTCATCCTCAGTTATTCGTAGAGTGTGGAATCATGCACTGTCCATTCCCCTTCCCTCCCAAAGTGCTGTCAGGACCCAATTCACAGATGGTGTTGGAACTTATTCTTTTTTGTTGTTGTTGTTGTTGGAACTTATTCTTAAGGGTATGGATCACGCTGCAAGTGCACAATACATGTTCATTTCCTTATCTAGGGAAAAGGCAAAAGTAGGGCTAAAATCATAATGACGTGTCGGCCAGCGTTCCTTCCAATACACCCCACAATTTCTCCCTGATTACAGTGTTCAAAAACTGACAGGTGGTCACCTGGACCTGTAAAAGATAAAAAGCAGCCAAGGAAAATAGCCTCTAACCAGGTGGCTGTATCGGCGCGCCCCCGATGTCCAGAATGACTTGCACAGAAGTTCCAAGGCCAGAGATCTGCAAAGGACACCCCGAGTTTCCCCTGGCGCCGCCCCTCCTCTGGCCCACGAACCGTGTGTACCAGCCCGATCTAGCACAGTTTGCGCCCCTTTTCTTCCCTGCTCTTCTCTCAAATTTGGCTAGTGGCTAGACTACAGGAGCCGGTGCCCTGCGCGCGGACGGAGACGGGGGATACACACTTCCGCCTGGCCTGGGAGGCCGAGGTCTGCGCAAAAAGGCGCGGCCGCTGCAGGGCCTGGGCAGCCGGCGCCGCCGCCTAAGCCGGGAGGAAGCTCAAGCCCCAGACGCTATGGAGGCGCCCGTCTTGCGCCCCGGGCTGCCCGCGCCACTCACCGGGGCGCTCTCGTGCAGGTTGTAGCGACACAGAGTGTGGTCCAGGTCGAAGCCGACCACGTCGCAGGCGGCCAGGGAGAAGTGCTGAGCCATGGCTGAGCAGCGAGCACCGGCTGGCGCCACAGGCGAGGAGGGTGCGAGGGGCGCGCGGGCGGGACGCCGCAGGACGGGAACGGAGGAGTGCGGGCGGGCCCGGGCGGGGCGGGGCGGGGCAGGGTTGCGGCCGTACCCGGACGCGGCGGGGCGCGGCTGCCTCCGGCTCTTCCCGCGCCCGCGAGCGCCGCCCCTAGCCGCACTTCTCCCCGCCCCTCGCGCGGCCCGCCTTCGCGGCGCTGCTCCCGGCCGCAGACCCCCGCACGCCCGCTTCCGTAGCTCGGTCGTCCCGAAAGCTGGAGGTGACCAGGAGCCGTGCCACCCCTGCAGAAACAGGGGTGCAGCTAAGGCCCTGGTAACGCTCAGCCCTTGCCACGGAATAACCACCTGGGCTGTTCTTAGTTTTCAAGGCACCACAGAAACCAGGACATTGTCGTTGGACCTCTTGTGAGCGGAATAATGTAGGATTATGGAGAAAATTTTATCCACGAATATTCTGTGACCCAACTAGGCTAGAATTTATAAGACCTTTTTCCTACCTGCTCTCTGGCTGAGAACTGAAACTATGAACTTTGAATTCCAAGTTGAATCTAAAACTTTGTATTTCGTAGTTTCAGAAGTATTAAAATAGGAAACCTTTCATTTTTACCTTCTGAAGTTCCTTAGAAAATAGGAATAGTCAAAGACTATTTTTGCGAAATGACACAGGTTAAAGGAACCAGTGTTAACATCTTGTTATTTGATTATCCTATTACTTATTGTAATGATTTTTTCTATGAAAGGGTATCAGAAACGATAGAAGATACTACAGAAGAAAGAACTTTATGCAAACAGATTTTAAAGTTTATAGAACACAAAATAATATGAGTGACAGTTTTCACAATTCTCTCAAGGACTGTGTATAGCCAGCATCATTTTAGATTCAGAGGAGAAAAGGTAATTGATTACATACAATGGATGCTCAGGGCATTTAATTCTGTCTCACAACCCCTGGTATGAATGGCTAGGACTTTGAGATATTTAAAATCATTTAAGAAAGAATGCACAAATCATTCATAAGAGAAAATACAAATCTCATTAAAAAGAGGAAATATGTTGAAAGATCTGTTATCTTTGTACTGCTTCTGTTTTAAGTTTAAAGGAATACTTTGTCCAGTTGAGAGAGAGACCATGGGCATGGATAGAATAGGGTGAGGGCTTCTGGAAAAAGCACAGCAGGATTTTTGCAGTCAGAGCAATGTAACTACATGCAAGGAAACCCCCTACCAAAACTCTGTGTTAAACATTAACCTCTAGGGTCATTCTTCAGTGAGATCAATTAATATTCCCCAGATAAAAAAAAGTAGCACATGTTTTTATTATGCTAATCATTTGTAATCATGTGTAAGATTCACTTTAGTGTGCAAAAAAGCCCAGGCCTATGTGCTGTCTTTCCTCCTTCAGATCTGATGAGGTGATTTTGCAAACTGAGCAACTAATTTAGCATGCAGACTCAGCTGTAGACGACATAGTAAAAGGCAGGAAGGATTCTACCTTAAAGATAAGATTGCATTTTAACACCCAGGAAGTTCAAGAAGTATGATTCTAAACTTATACTTTAGCAAACAGACAATACCTCAGCCCACCTTGAGAGCTGGGCAGGCGGCCTTTTGATATGCTCCCAGACCAAGATGCCGGTATCCCAGAGAGAAATCAAGGCAGGAAATTCCTTATGTTAAGTTAATTCTAAATATTCAGGATCCACTTAACAAGTCCACACCCCTAAACTTTTTTTCATGTTCCCAAATATCCTCAACTGCCTATAAAAACCCTAGACAACGCACCACTACGGACTCTTTTGTCCCCTCCTGGCGTAAGCTGGAAACTCTGTCCTTTCACTTTCTCTAAATGAAAGCCTGTACCTTGCTCTCTGACCTTGAGTGTTTGTGAAGCTCATTCTTCAGTTTCGTGAATAAGAACCCCGGCATCACAGTCCTGTTACCTGACAAGGGTCCAGTGTCAGATGCACCATTAGCCAAACATAGGACACTGGATTTTGCAAAGGGAAAAAACTTTATTGTAGGACCAACCAGAAAGGAGACAGGAAGCAAAGCTTGAATTCAAAGGGAATGCAGAATTTGTAGAGAAGGTTGATGCACATTTAGTAGAGTTTATACATGTCTAACAAGATTGGGGAAATAAACAGGACTTTTCTGCTGCACCTGCTCTGCATGGAATGTGGTAGAAAGTTAACATGCTGCTTTATACTTGTAAAAATGGAGGCTAAACCCCTCCCAGAGGTGGAGATTTTAGTATGGTTATGCGGAAAGGTGAATTGAGGACTTCTGGAACTCCTTGTTTGTCAAGTCTTTCAGTCTGGTTTAGGCTGGTTCTAGGCACAGTTGCAACTTCTCACAGCTCCTAGAATTCCTACTGGCTCTGAAAAATAAGCTTGACACAATTCATTACTGCTAGTTTTTTGGTGTCCTCAGTTTTGGGGGTTCAGCTCCAATTAACCATGTGGAGTGAGATTTCACTTCCCCTGTCTTTCCATCATCCCTCATTGAAGGATTTGGGGTGAAAGCCTCCCTAGCTACTTCCTGTTGAAGGTGTGTGTTGAGTGGGATTAGAGGAATGAAATTGTTTCATGACTAACTGTATGTATTCCTGGATGCTCAAGCTGGACGGTGGTGATGCTGGGGTTCTTGTTTGCGGAGTCGAAGAATGAGCTTCACAGTCAAGGTAGGAGAGCAAGGTACAGGCTTTTATTTAGAGATAAAGTGAAAGGACAGAGCTCCCGGCTCATGCCAGGAGGGGACAAGAGAGTCTGTAGTGGTGCGTTGTCTAGGGGGTTTTATAGGCAGTTGAGGATTTTTCGAGAACATGAAAAAACTTAGGGGTGTGGACTTGTTAAGTGGTCCCTGAATATTAAAAATTAACTTAACATAAGGAATTTCCTGCCTTGATTTGGCATCTTGGTCTGGAGCATATCAAAAGGCTGCCTGCCCAGCCCCCAAGGTGGGCTGAGGTATTGTCTACTTGTTAAAGAATCCTGTCTCTTGAACTTCCTGGGTGTTAAATGCAATCTTATCTTTAAGATGGAATTCTTCCTGCCTTTTACCATGCTGTCTACAGCTGGGTCTGCATGCTAAGTTAGTTGCTCAGTTTGCAAAATCACCTTGTTAGATCTGAAGGAGGAAAGACAGCACATGGCCTGGGCCTTTTAGTATGTTAAAGTGAATCTTACACATGGTTACAAATGATTAGCATAATAAAACATGTGCTACTCTTCTTTATCTGGGGAACATTAACTGATCGCACTGAAGAATGATTCTAGAGCTTAATGTTTAACATAGAGCTTTGGTAGGAGGATTTCCTTGCATGTAGTTACATTGCTCTGACTGCAGATATCCTGCTCTGCCCTCTCCGGAGGCCTTCACTCTTCTGACTACATCTATGGTCCCTGTCTCAGTGGCAGAGGTTGGTAGCTTCCCAGTTCAGGGTCAAGATGACAGAGAACAATCTGGTGGCCAGCGGTCTTTGAGATATAAACCTGACAAGAAAATTAAGAATCACAGGCTGTGGATAAAATGGTAATATTTCCAGAATATCTAGCCTAGCTTTAGTGCATTTGCATATCCTCAGGGTTGGAGAGAAGTCATCTCCATATCACTGGGTCATTATCTGGGCAACCGTGGGCGTGTCTGAACCTGAGAGGTTAAGGGGAGGGGGCTGGCTTGCTTGCTTGCTGACTTCCTCCAGAGCAGAGGAGAAAGATGGCCTGGGACTTCAGTTTGTGAGCAATAAACAGATTTTAAACTTTATTTCTCCCTTTGACTGATTTTGGTTTCTAGAGGTATTTTGCCCCGGGATTTTCTCTCCCCGGACTTACACAGGCCCAAACAAGAGAATTAACATGTCAAAACCAAAGGAAGGATTAGTAGGTAAAATCAATTTAACCAAGACTTAATTGGAGAGAAAACCCTTTATGGAATTCCAAACCTCCTGAGCAGAAAGGTTACTAAACTCCCTCAACTAGCTGGCTTGTTGGTATGTTTTCTTTATATCTTATTTAACCTGTCCACTGTGTTTATCCATGTACAGCTGGAAGTGTTAGCCACTGCAGACACCTTGTCTTGTTCTGCCAGGAGTTAATCAAGAGCTCTTCTGTTATCCATAACTACATTTGTTGAGGAGTTTACTGAAACTTCTAATTCCTCTAAGCTACTGGCTGCAGTCATGGCTAATTCTTCCATTGAGGTGGTTGTATTTCCAAAGGCGGCCTCATGATACTAAGCAAATCTCTCCACAGCATTACTAGTCCCAATGTGAAGCCTCTGCCTGCAGTTATCATTTCTAAGGCCCTATTCATCCTCTTTTCCCTTTTCTGGTTTTCTGGGAAATAAATACTTATTCAGGGTTGACCGTGTCCTAGGGTACATTGCCTGTGTGTCCAGATGTTAACACGTTGGAACCCTCTGTCCTGGTCTAAGTATTATAGGTCTGTATCTTCTGTGCCATTGGCTTCTTGGACTACCACACAGTAACACAAATCCTTCAGGTGCAAGCATTGTTATTCATGCATTTTTCTGGAGACAAAAAAGAGCTAGGGCCAAGGGTGAGTTGGGGGGTTTTGGCATGACATGAGAAGGATAATGGGCCTGACTTGTAAGGTCTAGTGAGTCTCCAGGCCTCGATATATTGGAGGTTATTGGGCCGATTGGTATGGAAGCATAGTCAAATCATTCCTGCCATCTCCTGGGCTCCCAGAAGTCAGAATGGTATATAGTTTCCTGGGAATGGTGGCTATATCACTGGAGGATCTATCTGACCATCTTGAATTTGGAGTTCTCCATTTTTTAAACATAGGGCTGACACATTCAGGATCCCCTTCCCAATACGTATGGTTACCACTTATGAGATTATAGATATCTGCTAAGACCTTTCTTAGGGTGTCCCAGATTTCGGATATATGCTGGATCTGAGCTTTGCAGGGAGGCATTTAAGTTTACAATATTAAAAGAACTGGTTATCATATAGGGGAGGGTCACATTAAAACAGGGAAACTTGTCTCAGAGTTGAATATTAGAGTAGCCTCTAAGGGGAAATTCAAAGACTGTATTACCTCGCCCTTCTTTAATGACTAGGGGAGAAATCTGAGGTGAGAGGTTTGGACTGCTGTAGAGAAAAAATGGTGGCTCTGGGAATTAGGGTGACATACCAACACTTGGTCGCATCCCCTCCTGCAGCCCCTGCCTGAGAGATTGTGACCCTGAATCAGTTTCCCATTGTCCATAGACAAGAATGGATGCATCACAGGACTAAAAGATAGGAGGTATTCATTTCAGTTTCACAAGGAAGGAGGGTTCGGTAGAGCACAGAGGTGGTTTCACCTCTTCCGGTTGTGGGGCAGTGGGCACAGTCTATGAGGAAAGGTGAGAGTTGTACTTAAACAGGCAAACAAGCCACGGGCTTTAAGGCACAACAAAGTCTCTCTCATTGCTTACTTATTTCTTCACCTTATTATCTTTACAAAGGAAATGATCCTGCCCTTCAGGGGACACACCAAGTTTCATGAGCACATGGCGGAGTATGGAAAACCAGTAGACAAGCCTTCCAGACTAGCAAGAATGTGAGTTCTGGTCATCTTGGTTTTCCTCGTGATTACTTCCTCAAAGTCAATTTAAGATCATTGCAGGTTTTGCAATAATATTCTGAGAGCTGGGGTGGGTCAGCCTCTGGAGTGTGCCCACTCCAAGAACATGCTTGGCCCAGGCAGTTCCTGCCTTTGACATGCTGGTGAGGTAGTCTGGGGGGATCTGTCTGCTGCACCAGTGCAGGTCTAACATGGGTATGATGGATCCAGGGCTTCTCTCCCGGATCTACCAAAGTACCTCATAGAGCTACACCCACTGGGGATGCAGCTGATCCTCAGGCTGTTTATTTTCCCAGGATAAGCAGTACCCGGTCTCCCAAAATCAGATGATGTAGCTGCATATTGGGGGAAACATCAGCCTACAGCACCTGGGGACTTAATGTATTTAATAAGGTCTAGTTTTTTAATGCTTGGCTCCTCTGAATCCTCCAGACCAAACTTATTGTCCAGAAAGGGTGCCCTATACAGCATTTCATAAGGGCTCGACTGGAGTTTGCTTCTGGGGCCAATCTATCTGTAAGTGGTACAACCTAAGGCCTTACCCTAGGTCAGGCTAGTTTCCTGACAGGTCTGAGCCAAAGTTTTCTTCAAGATTTGATTCATTTTTTGTTTTTCCTGTGGATTGGGGTTCCCATAAAACATGAAGTTTCCATTGTATTCTGAGGACTCAGGCTTCCTGAGTCACTTTGGCTATGAAGGCCCCTCTGTTGCATTGAAAAAAGAAAGTCTATGTCTGGGGATAATTTCTTTTAATAGAACTTCCACTTTAGAGCTTTCTCAGATCTGCAGGGAACTGCCTTTACCCGTTTTGTGAGGTATCCACTAGTACAAGCAGATTCTGGAAATTTCCAGATGCTCTTGGCCTCACAATGAAACAGATTTGCTAGTCTTCTCCTGGACACAGCCCTCTTGTTTGTACCCCTTTGACTACTGGGGGTGGTCCTGGTTTAGGATTACTCTTTGCACAGACTAGGTACTTTTTTACCACCTTTTGGATAGCCCTCTGCATATTTGGCCTTGTGATGTATTTCTGTATCCACCGTGAGGTACCATCTCATAGAAAGTACTTTGGTCTATATAGTCAATCACCTCTTCCATCAGAGAAGCAAGAATTAGGATAATCCCCTGATGTTATATATAGCCATCCATCCTTGGTATATCTATACATTGCGTTTTTGGAGTATTCAAGCCCCCAGTCAAATGACTACCATTCATCTGCTCCCTCTAAATCCTCAGATGGTTACTCCTATTTACTCTTTGGCAAGTCAGTATCAGGGCTAGTTTTTGGACTTTCAGTTTGAGTGGCACATTTTTCAGCTTTATCAGCCTTATTATTCTCCCTTGCTAGAAACAGTCTGTCCTTTGGCTGCCCAGACAATGAGCTGTGGCTACGTCTGTGGGTTCCATTATTGCTCCTTACAGTTCAAGAATTTTCCCAACATTTAATTTTCTCCCTCCCTGCTGTCAATAGCCTTCTTTCAATCTAAATGGCTCCGTGGGTATGTACCATGGAAAAGCAAATTTGGAGTCAGTGTATGTGGCTATCATTTTATTCTTATGAGGCTGTAGGGCCCGTTTGAGAGCAATCAATTCTGCCTTCTGGGCTGAGGTACCTGGTGGAAGAGCTTCTACCTCTAGGTTCTCCTAGTGAGTCACCACTGTATATCCTGTTCTGCTCAGGCCATGATCCATGAAGCTGCTCCCATCTATGAATATTTCTAGATCTGGATTTTCCAGAAGTTGATCTACCAGGTTCAACTGGCTAGAATAGACTTGGTCAGTAAGTTGAATACAGCCATATATGGTTTCACATTGCGTGGGAGCAAGGGGTGGGATTCAGAGTGTACACCACTTTCAATTTCATGTTTGGATTTTCTAACAATATAGTCTGATATTTTTCTAGCCTTCCCAAAGTGAGCTGATATCCTCCCTTTTGTTCTAAGCGTAGCAGTAAACAATGTGGGCTGTATACAGTGGTGGGCTGGCCTGGAGAGAACTTTTCAGCTTCCTGAAGTAAGTCACAGGTAGCTGCTATTGCCCTGAGACAAACTGGCTAGCCCTGGGTGACAGAGTCTAACTATTCTAAAAAATAAGCAACAGACCTTCTCACAGGCCCCATGTTTTGAATTAACATTCCAAGACTTGTCCCCTGCCTGTTTTGCACAAAAAGATCAAAGGGCTTTTAGGAAGGCCTTCGGTGGGGGCTATCATCAATTTTCTTTTTGTCTTAGAATGCCTTATTGCAATCACCAGTCCATTTTAAAGGCTCATTATCTCTGCCTTTTGGGATCTCATAGAAAGGCTTTCCAAATTTGGCAGAATCCTGCGGTTCCTAGAAATCCCTGACACTCTCCTGTTTATAGGGACAGCTACTCTGGCTAGCGCTTCCCTCTGATCAGGGAGAAGGTTGCTTGCCCATGTGATAGTTCAAATCCTAAATATTTCACTGTCCATTGGGATATCTGAGCCTTTTTGGACACCTGATAGCCCTCTCAGCCAGAAAATTCAGTGTAAGAATAATAACCAGGTTTGATCTCTCCTTGGTTTTGCTATCAGAATGTCATCTACATATTGAAGCAACATTCCCTTTTTTAATGATAACTCTCTCTCAAATCCTTACCTAAGATCTCCCCAAAACTAGTAGAAGAGTTTTTGAACCCTTGGGGAAGCACAGTCCAAAAACAAATAGCTCTTGGGATCTGGACTCAGGGGCATACAATAAAAGGCATTCTTTAGGTCTAGGACAGTGAACCACTTTGATGATGAGCCAGAGTGTATAGGTTCGGTACCACCAGATGAGTATCTTCCACTGTCTGGTTGATTGCACTAGTCTTGTACAAATCTACATTCCTTGACCCCAGGTTTTTGTGCAGGCAGGACTGGGGTGTTCTATGGTGATCAGCACAGGCATATAAGTTGGCATTCCAGAAAAGCAGAGATCAGGGGTCAATATCCCTCTTAGCCTATTTCCTCAAGGGATAGAGCTTCAAATTTGGGAGTCTTGGAACTGAGGTGAAGACTTACCTTGACAGGATGAACTGTCTTTTCTTGTCTAGAATCTCCCTTCTGTGCATATGTCTGGACTCACCTCTCCGAGGACCCCTTCAGGTTTGTCCATAGCTGGGGCTGCCTTTTGTGGAAGCAGTGCTGCTTGGAACGCACATGCAGCTTGCAGAGGCACTTTCCTATCTATTGCTCCAGAGGAAAGGTGACTTGATCTTAGTTTGGCCAGCAAGTCCTGTCATAAGAGGGGTATTGGGTAGTCAGGCAGAGAAAAGGAATCTTGCTAGATGCAGGTTTTCTCACTTGACATTCAAGAGGTTGGAGAAAGACTTTAGTTTAGTTCTCCAGAAACTCCAGTCATAACCTTAGTTTCTGGGGCTAACTTTCCTAATTTGACTTTTAATCCTGAAAGGTGGCTCCAGTGTCCATTAAAAAGTCTGTGAGCTTTTTTCCCACTATCAAAGTGACCCAGGGCTACATGTCGGTAATTTTGAGGGAGACTATAGGGCTTCCTGAAGTCCCTAGGCATCCGAATCACTGTTGGCCAGCTGAGGTAACTGGAATGCTGACTGGTAATTTTCCTTAGATTCCTTACATGGGCACTGTTATTTGTTGTTTACCTAAAGAATAACTGACCAGTTGGCTTAAGTTTTAGACTCTAAAATAGCTTACTAAATGATCTTTGGTGGATTTATAACACTTCATTTTTAACATCTGCATTGTCAGTGTTATTTACCAAACTGTTATTTTGGATGGGGGGCATGGCCTGGTTATTCTTCACTAGTTTAAGATGTGGTTTTATAAATACTCCCCGAAAAACATTGTGATATTCAAAATTTACATAACCTAAGCTAATATACACACCTTCTACAGGTCATATTTTTTATGGGAGAACAATTACCTTTACTTAATAATAAAAAATATAAAATATACAAATGCCTAACAATAGATATGTCATTTAAATATTAGCCATTTAGCAAAATAGAATCAAAAGCTGACTTGTAATACTGAACCATGGCCTTCAGATGGCAGTAGTTTTACATTAGGAATATTTTTCATTTGATTTCTTTAGTAATCTTACAAGCCTTACATTTCTTAATAAAATATGTCATTTTCTACTCTCCATTTCTGCTTTTAACTCAAGAAAAAAAATCCTACCTAGAAATTTCTCTGTGGTATTTTTCTGTGTGTGTACTTAATTTTGATGGTATAGAGGGAGAACATGATGGGATGAAGTCCTTTGGTAGGAAACTTCTCATCACGGTATTGTCTGAATGAAGAACCAAATGTTCAAAATAAAAAGGTAGTTCCTCTCACAGAGAGAGGTAAAATTCCAGTAGCAGAATTGTGATTCAATATGATCTCAAATGATGTAGCAATGGATTGAAATTTAATTAAGACAAATATTAAGTTTTTGGGTTGGGTTCAAATAATCTACTTTAACAACATTATGGGAAATCTTGATTTATCAGCAGTCAAGTTAGAAAATAAAATACAGATAAACTGAAGGTGAGCTAAGCTCAACAGTTTAAACTGTTTCTCTTGGACTGTCACTATACCTGTGCCTTAGCTGTCCTGGGAGTGCAGGGGTTTTAAATTGCAGAAAGGCTAACGTGTCCAGGAGCCTGGAGACTGACTTCTGTTCTTGGTTAATGGCATCCACACCACTGCTTTTCCTAGGCCAGACCATCTCTGTCAGTTGCCTCTGGCCACAGTGGCCACATGCTCAGCAACCACCCCTGTTGCATAAACTCTGAAATATCTCTAGTCATCAGAAAAATGTTTAGTTATGACCCAAATGAGATAATTTCAGGCTTGCCATTCTGTACTCAGACAACTGCTGCTCTTCCCTTTTTTTTTTAATTTTTAAACAATCAACATTATATTCTTCATAGCTTCTGTGTATATGTACCTTTGAAATTGCCCTTCCCAATTTGGGGTATCATTTTATTTTTTATTTTTTTATTTTGTTA